GCATACTTCCAGCACGAATGGCACTGGGTCGGATGGCTAGCTGCACGCACTGAGCCAGAGGGAGACCACACTTCTCTCCAGGAGCAAGTCAGGTCTTCATACGAGACAGAGCTCTCTGCGCTCTGCTATGCACTGGCGTGCGCCGTAAGCGCACGAGTGCCTTGCCTCTTCGGGTTCGACTCAACATCCGCCGCTGCTACCGCTGCGGCAGACGCAGTTGACAAACAGGGGTCGGCCTTGGCTTTAGCTTGTGGATCCCTGGTGCACCTGTTGCAACTGCAGGGTTGTGCGCCACTATGGCACCACATACGCTCCCACCAGGGTCACCCCCTGAATGAGTTTGTCGACGCTACAGCTAAGTATGCGGCACAGACATTGACAGCTTGCCAAATCCCCACTGCCCTATCTGAGGCACAGCACGACGGCACCCTGCACTGGCTGTGGCTTGCTACCGGGCTCCACCCCTCCGTGCCAAAGGTCGACACGGGCGGGATACTACGGGATGCCGCGCAGCTCCGAGATGATACTCATACCCTGCAAACCGTGCTGCCCAGCCCTGAGACTGTCAAGGGCAAGGTCAAATTTGACTTTCAGGTTGCAACCTACAATTGTTTGACCCTCAGGTCACAGGCGCAGCAAGAAAGCTTAGCTGATCAATTCAATAAGCACCATTGCAGCGTCATAGGACTGCAGGAGACTCGGATCACCCTCACCGAGCGCAAGGCCAATCGTCACTTTTATGTCCTTGGCGGCCCTGCGGAAAACGGTCAGCTCGGCTGCCAATTGTGGCTGGCGCGAAACCGGCCTATTGCATCATGTGACGAGGCCCCTGTCACTTGGGACCCCAATGCTTTCTGTGTCATTCTTGCCACGCCGCGACTCCTGCTAGTTACTGCTCGGGCAGCCGACCAGACCTTTGCATTCCTAGTTGGTCACAGTCCCACTGCCAAAGCCGGGCAAACTGTCTGCGAGCAGTTCTGGCAACAAGTGCACTCCGCCCTTCGGCGAATCCCGACAAACTCCATCCCCATCGTGCTGGTTGATGCCAATGCCAAAGGCTTCGGGACAAGGGGTGATTTAGATGAGATACCAGAGCCCCATCACAATCATGAGGGCCTCGCCAGCATCGTGACAAGCCATGCGTTGACTACATCGGGACACATGACCCACGATGGCCAAGATTTTCAATCCTGGACTGGCCCTGACGGTCAGACAGCATGCATTGACTACGTCATCTGCCCCACAATCCTCGCCCAAGGAATGCGGGTGCTAGGGCCACTGCTAGGCTTCGTTGGTTATCTTGACCACGACCACAAGCCGATAGCCGTACAGATCTGTTGGCACACCACCGGCATTGTCTGCAAATATGGCACACGGCTTAGTGGGGAAGGCCTTCATACAGCCGCTGGGAGGCAAGCCTTACGACAGGTCTATCACGACATGCCACCGATCCCGTGGGAAGTCTCTGTTGACGAGCACTTGCGGCGCATCAACCAACACATTACTGATCATCTCAGGCCAGTGTGTGCGCGCGCAGCCAACAAGCCTCGCGACCGCACTACTTCCGACCACACCTGGGCCCTCATCCGCGATCGCCGCCACCTTCGGCGCGAAATCCACCACACTCGCGGTGCCAGCCTTTCGACAGAGTACCATACCATGCTTGGGGAACAGATCAAAGACCTGGGACGGCTCATCCGAGCAGCGGCCAAAAGCGATGCGGCAGTTGCCCTGCGAAAAGCCTTCCAATCTGCGCGCGAGTCTGGAATTGATACGCTCCACAGGCTCTGCCGCAGCATCACAAAAACTGGTCGAAGGTATCGCTCGCCCAGTCTTTGCCCTGCACTTCGTGCCACAACGGGACAGGTCGAAGAGGACTCTTACAAAGTCCTTGGCGACCACTTTGCTGAGGCTGAGCTAGGACAGCACTGCGCCCCGACTGACATTACCACTCGTGAGCCAGCGTATGCTATGCAAGACATCTTGCTCCCCAGTGCGTTTTCAGTCACCTCTCTCAGCCGCGCGTTCGCGAGCCTGACAGCCAAGCGCGCCTCCGGCGGATCACAGATCCCTGTCGAGGCCTATAAATTCGCACCTCTTGCAGCAGCACATTGTCATGCCCCTTTGTTGCTGAAGTGCTTGCTGCGCCGCCAATGCCCCATCCTATGGCGGGGTGGGATTGCAACAGCCATCCCGAAGCCTCTAAAACCTGCAGACTCTGTCGAAGGATGGCGCAGCATTCTGCTGCTTGAGGCAGGAGCGAAAGGAGTCGCCAAAGCCATTAGGCATGATCTCCTGCAAGGATACAGCAAGCTGCGCCAATCTGGTCAGAGCGGGTCCATGCCAGGACAGCCTCTCCAGATCTCAATGGCTCACGTCAGAGGCCTAGTGAAGCGCATCAAAGCTTCAGGACAGAGTGGCGGCATTTTGTTCGTAGACGGCCGGGCAGCCTTCTACTCAGTGCTCCGCGAAGCCCTTCTAGGCACTGACAGCGCGCAACCTCACCAGTTCGTTGAGCGACTTGCCGAGCTTGTCTTTCATACAAGGGAAAAGCAGACTGCCTTCATCCTTGCTGCCCTCGGCCCCGGGCTCCTACAACAGACTGGAGTCCCACTTGCGGTGAGAAGATATGTCGCAGCAGGCCTGGACCGCACCTGGTTCAGCGTCGGGCATAGGCCGCGACACGTGTACGAAACCCAGTGCGGTTCTGTTCCGGGGGCGCCGCTCGCCGATCTGTATTTTCAGATCATCTTCAGCCAGGTTTTAGCCGACATCTATGCTGGTCTTGAAGACCACGAGCTGACCGCCAGCTGCCCCGGCATTGCAACCTCCCAATCGCATAACCTGCCCATCCCTACATGGATGGACGACATCGCTGTGCCGGTGCTCGCCCCCAAACCTTGCCAACTCCTTGACCGAGCCGCCAACGCAGTACGTGTTGTTGATGATGCAATGCACGCTGCTGGGATTCGGCTTAATTTCTGCCGTGGAAAAACTGAATTCCTTGCGGTCGTTGGAGGAGAGGGCAGCAGAAGGCTACAGCAAGAGTGGTTTTGCGCCAATGGGGCAACCTTTACGGTGCCTTTAGAGACTGGTCCCATCACCGTGCACCTCACAGGAAGCTATGTACACCTGGGGTCCGAGATCACCCTCTCCGGCAAAGACGGACCAGACATTTTCAGACGGCGAAGTCTTGCCCGCCGTCTCACAACTGATCTGAGCAAGCTCATGCACAATGGATGCCTGTCAGCCGAGGAACGGCTCAACATGCTTATTGCGATGCCTCTGGCCCGGCTACGACATGGCGCCGGCCTCTGGTCTCTTGAGTTCACTCAGGACCAGCATGCATACCAGAGTGCTTATATTGAGCCCTTCCGCAAATACTTTCGTGCATTAACAGGCATAACTGCACAAGGACTCGACGACCATCAGATTTGCCTCTGTCTTGGAATCTTGACGGCAACTCAGATGCGAGAGGCCGACTTGACGCGCCACGTTGGATGGCTGGCAATTGATGGCTCTCCAGTCCTTCGCGAGCTCTGGCTTACCTCAGGTTCATGGTTCCGAGAGGCACAGAAGGCAGTCAAGGCTTGCAGTGCACATCTTGGAGTACGCCCCAACTCTGCGTGGGAAACACTCCTTGCCAAGCCGTGCCTGGCCAAACAATGGGCGCGAAGCTATGCCCGATACTGCCGCAAAGCCCAACGCCAACAGCAGCCGGCTGCACTTCGAAGATGGAAGGCGTACCATGATGCACAGCAGCAAGGAGTCTTCTTCCTGCACATCCGAGAACGCACTCGTGCGGCTGGTCTCACATGCCCTGAATGCCAGTGCTGCTTCGATAATCCAGCCGCTTTGGGCTCGCATCGTCGCAAGGTTCACGGCATTGTCGCAAGGGCCACACAGGTCACTTTCGGAACCCGCTGCGACGTATGCTCCACTGAGTATTGGAGCACAAGGCGCCTCCGGGAACACCTTCGCCGCAGCCCCACATGCCTCAAAGTCTGGGAGGCAGCAGATAGGGATGCTGAGGCCCCCACTTGCAATACCGGTTGCGAGTGGATGCCCTCTGCTAAAGCTTACGGGCCACAACCATGGTGGGCAACCTTGCAACCAGAGGACCCGCCAGAGCCACCTACACAAGCGGTTCCACCCAGTACCGCAGTGTTTGCGAAATGGCTCGAAGGCGAGAGCTCCAAGATTTCTGCAAGCCAATTGCTGGATCTTGTTGAGAAGGGAATACGGTTTCGACTTACTGATGATGATCTCCCCCTCGCCTCTTTCAACACTCCAGCTGCCACCCTCAGCCTTCTCCAGCACGCCGTGTGGGTAGCACAAACAATCCTTGCGCAGAGCGCGGGATCGCAAGAAGACTCCTTTTGGCGTGTTTCGGTACAGGGAATGCGCGTGATTTTCTGGCCAAACGGCACGCGTGCCGCAGGCCAAAGCTGGTCGGAGTTACCCACGGAGTGGGCCTTTGACCAGTAAGTCCGTTTGCAAGACTGTGTGCACTCTACGAGTTCAGCCATCATGCCCAAAAAAACCCCTGAACTCTGAACCCTATATAAGCTCTGAAGCCCTAAAACCCTAATCAAACCCTGAAACCATAAAATCCTAAAGCCCTAAAAAATTCCAAAAAAATGTGAAGCCCTAAACCCCTAAAACCCTCTTTGACAGTGTCAGAGCTCCAATCGCTATGCAGGGACAAGATCTTACCCAGACCCTCCAATTGGGTTCTTCCTTACCTTTCGTTAGTAGGGAATGGAAGAATGGTAGTAATAGTAGTTATAATTTTACCCCATTCCTCCATTCCCTACTAACCAATGGTAAGCTTCTTGTGCTGGTAAGTCAAGTACTTCTCCAAACAAGAAGGCTGCAACAAACTGGGACAAGAACTCCATGCGAGCGTTTTTTTTCTCTAAGCCTTAAGTCCTAAAATCCACCTTAAACCCTAGATCCTCAGTTCCCTGAACCCTAAATCCTGAACCCTACCAGCGAAGGACCTTCGGCTCGGCTATCTGAAATTCCTGCTGCTGTACTTGATCATCGAGGCAGATGTGACGGTTTTCGGAGCTTCGGGCTTTTTGGAGTTTCGGGTTTATAGAACTTTTTGTGTTTAGGGACTTTGGGAGTTAGTGTGGGCTTCAGGGTCTGGTGCTTCGGTTGGGTTCGGGGTTTGAGGTTAAGGCGTCAGCAGGGTTTGAGGAAGGACTAAGGCCGATACCGACACTGGTTTAAGGCTTTAGGGTTTCGAGGGTATAAGGTTTTAAGGTGTACGGCTTTGGGATATGACTAAGTTCAGGGGCTAGGGTGTTAGGATATTCGGCTTAAGGCCGAAGGATGGGGTGGAGGGGGCGGGTGAGTTTGCCAGAAACTAACATGAACGTGCAGAGGGTTCAGAACAGGCTACGGGTCTGTTCTATCCGAAGCTCCATGCTAGTCAAGTGTTTACGGCATTTGTGGCGATGGGGATTTGCGGTAGCAGCGGTAGCAGATTCAGGCTTTTGCCCTCAGAGTGTTTGCATGGGTTCTGAATAACCCTGGGCCCCAGGGCCCTTAACCCAAACCCGAACCGCAAAACCCCCAAATCGCAACACTTAAGGAACATTTCTAGAACCTTGATCGCACACTGACAGAACGAAACTCAAGAGCCTTGGGAGCCTTCTTGAAATCCCTGTGGAGCTCGTAGAAGCACCCATCTAATGTCGGTGCCGAGAAGTTTAAAATAGGATTTTAGGCTCCTTTATGGTATTATGTCGGCATGATTATAAGAAGGAACCGTACGGAATGATTTTGGTAAGTATTTCGGCCTCGAAAGTATCATAGGCGCCGTACTAATTACCAATACTATTTTGGGGGGTTATTATCGTTCTAGATGGGCTCTGATTATTGAGGACTCTATACTAGAGCCTTACAGAAACCGCCGCTGCCGCAGGGCGCCCTGGCCCAGACCTGCATTGAAATCCTCAACGACTTTCGCTCAAGCCTTGGCCACTCCGGCAGAATTCGGAGAAAAGCCCTACACCCTAAACCCTAGTTGTGGAGAGCTCTTTAACTGGGCCTTTCAAGGATCCATGCCTAGTATAGGGGCTTCAACTGGGTTCTATTCCCAGACCCCGGACGGATCTTAAAGCGGAACACCGGGACAAGGCCTTGGTGTTGTTGGGAACGCTCAGGGACATCCGCTTGAAGCACCTGTATCCGTGGATTCTTGCTAAACCATACCACGGTGCCTCTTCTTTGTTCAGGCCGAGGTCCCATTGCGTGAGGCCTTGATCATTGGAACAGATGTTTGAGCAGATCGCAGGAAAGCATAGTAAAGCCATGTCGGTACTCTCGCTCTCTGTCTCTCTTTCAAACTCTCTCTGTCCCTCTCTCTGTCTCTCTGTCTCTCTGTCTCTCTGTCTCTCTGTCTCTCTGTCTCTCGCTCTCACTCTCGTTCTCGCTCTCTCTCTCTCTCTCTCTCTCTCTCTCCGTCTTTCTGTCTCTCTCTCTCTGTCTCTCCGCTCTCTCAGCAATTTTCCCCAAAACGCCAACAGAAACGGCCAGGCGACCTTGGGCTACTCCTCAGACAGTTGCTGGCCACCTTCACCTGGTCCCCTCACCTGGCCGGGCCTGCTCCGTTAAAGCGCGTCCTTCACGGGGTCACTTAAGGGCAAGGGACCCTTTCAACGATTTCGGGCTTCGGTCCCGGAGCCAGCCACCGACCATAGTAGACCCTCTGGGCCCCCTCATCTTGAAGCCGAAACCCTAAACCGCAAGCCCTAAACCCCTAAACCCTGAACCGTTGAAGCCTTAAACTTCTACTCTACCAGTACGGTGGATGAGATTAATCCTGCATTACCTTAAAGACCCTAAACTATGGGAATTATGGTATATTCCTTGTGAAGGGTAATGGTACTGCAGGCTTTATATCATCAACCGTATCTATGTGATTCAGAAGGGCTCGAGCGGAGGATGTGCTTCCTGGGTGTCGGGAGAACCCTCACAACTCTGAGGGTTTTTTAGCGGGTTGGAGTTCCGGGCTTAGAGGCTTGGGGTGTAGGGTTTAGGGCTTAGGGTTTAGAGGATTGGGATTTCGTGTTCAGGGTTTAGGCTGAGAGGCTTGGGGTTTCGGGTTGAGGGTATGTCTAATGTTTCGAATTTGCAATGTCGTACCTGACCGAGAAACCTTTCACGGCACTACAGTACTCCGATGGCTTAGATCATGTGCCCAAGCATGCAAAAACCCAACAGCCGCGAACCCCAAACACTTAAAGCCCTGAAACACCAAAGCGAGATGCTTAATACCCCAGCCCCCAACACCCAACAACCACCAGAAACAAACAGCTCATAAAGAGCCCTTAAAGGACCTTATAGGAACCCTTACAGGACCCATAGAAGCCGACTTATCAGTCCTGTCAAACAGGCCTGAGAGGAAACAGGAAATTCCAAAAAGTGGTTTAGGTTTAAGTTTAGGGGTTAGGGTCTCGGTTTGGAGTTTGTAGTTTCGAGCTTTGAGTTAGTGCCAAGCCTTATGTTCCGGGTTTTGGGATTAGCGTTCTTTGGAGGTGGCTGTACGCTGCCTGATGGATCATCTGGCGCATGCTGCTGCTCGATTCACATCCCAGGGTCCCAGGTAACACCAAAGCCCATTAGGGTTTCGGGTTTAGGGTCTAGGGTTTGCGGTTTAGGGTTTTAGGGCTTTTAGGGTATTGGGTGTAGGGTTTAGGGTTGTGTAATAGTAAGGCTTTTGTTTCTTATGTTTGTCAAGTTTTCTTTTTGGTTGAAAGGCCTTTCTATAGTAAAACGGAGTCAGATTTTCAAGGGCTTGTTTTCTTTCGAACTGGCTCTATGTTGGGTGTACAACTTTGTGCTTGATACAGTTTTTTGACATGTTTTGGGCTTGTCTACTGATATAACGCCGGATGTATATTGTGGCCCCAAGTATATACAGTAACCCATGGTTGAGTCTACGTTAATCCTGTGGTCGGTGGAACCCTAAACCAGAATGCCTGTCGAGGATGCATGGGTTTAGGATTGACGGTGTTGACTATAGGGGCTTCAATAAGTACCAATACTAGTGTGGGGCTTAGGCTTGCTGATTATTATACTTATCGTATAATGGGCCCCAAAACCCTATTCTAATCATTAAGGCCTCTATATAGCGGTCTTTTAGGTGAGTACTTGCCGTTTAAGCTTTACTAAGGGTACAGGATTCAGGATTTGGGATCTAGGGTTATTGAGTACTGTCACACAGCGGTTGGTTTTGCTTACGAGGTGTTTGTGGCGCTTCTCTAGGCATGCGAAATAGTCAATCAAGGAGTTTCTTGTGTCGGCCTCCCAAGTGGTTAGAGCGGCCCCGGTGAGAACGCTCTACGATATTGGGGCTTTGCTGCGGATACCCTGCATGGAGGGGCGCCGCCATACTTCAGCTCTAGGATCTTTTCACAGGTCTTCGAGGAACCAATACAATACATAGAGCCCTTCCTTAATCCCTCATAGAAAGGCTCAAATAAACTGCCAATACTATTTTGGCGGTTCCTGTATAGTTATATTGTAATATACCCCAAAACCCTATTCTAATGATTAAGGCCCCTACATTACTGAGGCCGGATACCTGCAGGGCGAGGGAGTCGCCGTGAGCAGCATCGTCGCATCTTGCTCGGATGACGAGTTCTGTGATCTTTGGGTTCCTAACCCTAAACCCTAAACTCTAAACCCTAAACCCTAAACCGTGGCCGAGGCTGCTTGGTTGGTTCCAGATGGAGTTCAGGATTTTTAAGGTTGAGGGCTCTCGCGGGTTTAAGGTCTCTTTGTCGGCTCCATAACGGATGTAGGGTTGCGTGTTTTTTTCAGTTTGGGGTTTCGGGCTTGCATGCAGGACACAGTTTTTTGGGCGCTACAGGAACCACAGTTTAGGGTTTAGGGTTTAGGGTATATACAGAGTTGCTGTGCAATATATCACGCTATGAAGCCATTCTACGGTTTCAACGTCTGTGTGTCTCACAACCGATAGTGATCGATGCCAAATTGCGGGTTGATGTTGCGCTCCAACAAAGATGTGCCCACCATGTCGTGCTTTATGCCAGTCATCTACCCCACGCTGCGCATGGCGGCTAAACGGCTAAAGTGAATAAGCAATCCAGATCAAATGGCCTTATGGTGTGTGTATATACATATATACACACATTGAAGGTGTACTTGTAGCAAAAGCCTTGGGTAAGTTATGCAACCTTGCACGCCGGCAGAGAGTGCAAGAAGCAAAAGCCGTAGCATACCCGAACTTCAACAAGTTCCTGTCTGACCATATATACTACTATTATGGAACCAGGTCCCTGAAACCATTTCTAGGATAGTCGTTTAGGGCCTAATCCCATAATGGTAGTGTATATGGACCCTCTCCGTTTCTGAGGCAGGTTGGTCGTCCGCTGCTACGGACTCCTTGCCAACTCCCGATGTTTTGGCCGAGTCCCTTGCGACGCTGGGTGCGAAAGATTGACGGCGATTGCATGATTCACCATTGTGCGAATCATGACGGGGGAATTTCCAGAAGTCCATCTACTCATAGTGAATTTTTAAACTATACAGTGGAACAGGGAGCTGGGCTTCTACGGCGTGATTAAGGATTCTTCAGTTGTAGCCCGCGATTTTCGTGTGCCCATCATTTACCTGGTTAGCGCCATCTTTACCACATCGTCATCTTCTTTGCGCCATGTCGTTGTCATAGTCCGAAGGAGTTCAAAGTGGTGGCAGCAGCACCACGAAATCCTACAGAGAGTCTCAATCCAAAGATTTTTCGATAAACCATGATAAACCTTAGGTGCTGCCCCCATACAGTAAGAGTCTATAGTAGGGCTACTATTAGGGTCCTAGTATATCTGTATTACAAAATATTATTCAACTATTACTGAGTGGCGGCCGTACCCATGGACCACCCCAACCATGAGATCCAAACCTTAACCACCTAAACCGTCAGATCAACGCCGGACCCCCGAGCCCCAACACTTAATTAGTGTTTAATCCCAAGCCTTGCAGTTTTGAGGTACGGGAGCATCCGCTTGTAGGCTCATGTAGCGAGGTTCCGAAATGGGCACGAACGTCCGAACTGCCCCAAAGTTCCTAAATTCTAAACCCCCCAAATCCCTAAAGCCCTAAACCCTAAACCCTGAACCCGAAACCCGAAGCCCCTAACATCCTAAAGCCCTGAACCACGCTCATCTCAGGAGGCTGAACCACACCAGCTGGTTTTCAGAGGACTCTGGGCCACTTCGTGAGTCCTTGCCTCATGGCTGGAGCTAATATCCGGGGTTCTCTTGTAGGGTTTTGGGGTTTCAGGGTTTAGGGTTTTTAGGGCTTTTAGGGTTTAGGGTTCAGGATTTTTAGGGTTTTAGGATTTCGGGACCATCCGATATCCTGGCAAGTAGGGTTTTTTTGGCTGGAGGCAAGCAGTACCCTTTTGTAATTCTAAAGGCGCCTACAGTATTGCCCAGGTTCAGAAAGGCCAAAAGCATCTTGTTTCACAAAGCCGGAAACTCTAAGCCATATAACTATGCAACATCCCCCAACTGCATGCTCGGAATCTACCAGTTGAGCGGTTTGGGGTTCGAGGTGTCTGTGACATTCAACACACTGGTCGTTACCGCAGGACACTTATCGAAAGACCCTGAAGTGCAGATTGAAGACCTTGCTGAAGACAGTGAATGTAGGAGTGTAGCACTTATGAAGAGCAGCAAAGTACTGAAACCCGAATGCCTCAAGAACCCTTATCATAAAGCCTGCAGACACCATATAAACGCTAAACCTAATGAAACCCCGAAGCAAAGCCATAAGGCCCTCAACAGAAGCCTTATTGCACATAGCCGTAAGCCTATTAGAAACTCCAGGAAAGATTTTCAGTACTCCACAGAGCTCTACGCGCTTGCCTTCTGGGTTTGCTTGCCGCTGGTGCTGTGGCTTCCCGGCGCTCTTGGTTCGTTGGGCGATTGTTTTTATCGGAATGATTGGAATCTTCGCCCAGGACCCTCAACCGTTGAAACTTAAGCCTAACACCAAACAGTAGATCCAAAATCTCAAAACCAGACACGAAACCCACCTTCACACTCCCAAACACCACCGGCTAAACCTTCAACGGTCTACTCTGCATGCAACATGTGCCCCCCAAAGATCCCGGTTTGTATACGCCTCCGGTTCCTAGTAGAGAATGGTGGAGGGGGTTTTTATGATGCAGTCCCTATAATCAATCCATTCCGCTCCCTACTACAACCCAGGGAGGCAAACTCCTAAACCCTTCAACTCAGACACGCCAAACAAAACACCCCAACAAAACCAAAGCACCCTCAACCCTACCGAGAGTCTCCATTGTCGTGCCTTTTTCTGGCTTACATAACCCGTTTCATATGTAGGATCCTACAAGGTAACACAAAAACAAGCTACAAAGGAGACTCTGAAAGTTCCCCCCCCCCCCCCAAGAGATCTTTAGCCCTGAACCCCAGACTCCCAGTCCTAACTTTTCGTAACACCTGAAAATAGTTGAATAATTGCCCTTTGCTATTGCCGGAGGGCTCCTTGTTGTTTATACTTATAGTATAATGGGCCCCAACTTCGTCTTGTAATTATTAATGTCCCTACAGTACCAGGTTCGGCCGATAGGACAGTACCCCATGCGACAAGCTTTTGTGTACGGGGCTTGGGGTGCAGGGCTCAGAGTTGGGCTTCATGCTCATAAAGCTCATTTGGGAGCTTCCGAAAATAAGGGGGGTACCTTATTTTGGGGTCCTTCTAATAGGGATCCTACTATTTAGGGTACTATATCAGGGTCCCCCATTTTGGGAAACTCTCACTTCGGGGCGCCAGACACTGCATTCACGCCTTACGCTTGAAGCCTCCGCGCCGCAACAACTCACCTCAAACCCAAAGCCTTAAACCCTGAATCCAGAACCTCAAACCCTCAACCCCTAACCTGAAGCCCCAAACCCGCAACCCAAAGACCTCAACCCGCAACCCCTCCAAGGAATCCATGCCTTGAGCTCAGGTTACTTCTCTATATCTCCAACTTCCTGTATGTTTGGATCTGCTCCTGATCCGCTTTAGCGTTATGAAGTTCTATTTAGTATTTTCTGGGTAGTACAGAACAATCAACAAAGGTGAAACGAAGGTAAACTAAAGGTGAACGAGGGCTAAGGGTTTGCGGATTACGACTTTCCCAGAGGGCCAGAGGGTCCATAGAGACGTTTAGTGTGGCATCTTGGTCCCCAAGGGTCAATTTCCGTAATGGTAGTGTAAAGGGAACTTCGTGGTTTTGGATTATAGTAAGGTCTTGCATGGGGTTGACCTTTCGGAGCACCGTTCAGGTTGCTTTTCTGGGGTCTTCACAAAAAAGGCTTTCCTTTTCACAGCCTTCCAAACAAGCAATACGCTAAACCCTATAAGCCCGAACCCCCTAGATCCTAAGCGCCTTCAACAGTCGAGTTCAACAACGACCCAAGATCATTAGTAATTAGGAGATATGCTAAGTGGCTTAGGGTTTGGGGGTTTACGGAGGTAGCCTGAAATTTGTGGCTTAAAGTTTAGGTTTGAAGTTGAGAGCTTAGATCTAGCAACTTGCAGCCCTCAATGCCAAACCTTGAACCTGAAAACTTTAGCTTAGCCCTCATGCCCTAAACTTTAAAGCCAAATCCCTAAGCTTTAAAGTCTAAGCCCTGGCCTCTCAGACCTTTCGGGGCACTAAAGAAGAGGAGCTCAAAAAAAAAGTCTAAGCCCGACCTAAATCCCGAAGTGGAAGCCTTCCGCTCTGGCATGGAAGGCTTGATTTGGGACAGCTCCTTCAACAGTCGGGCCATCACCTTCTACCAGGCGCCCCATCGTGATTAGGGTTTCGGGGTTGGGGTGTTGGGGTGAAGCTTTAATCTTGGTTTGAGGTAGCTTTTGTAGATTGTAGAGCTCCGTAACAGTAAGGGCACTATACCCATGAATCCCTATATGGTCTAAGAATTGAACCTTAAACGTTTAATTAGGGCTCATTCCGTGTTTTAAGAGTGACAGCCTTACGTGTAGGTTTTGAGCCCGCGTGGACAATGAATTCATCGCTAGTTGGCCGTCGATCGAACTTGACGCGCTATCTGCGTCGGCTTTGGAAGTTCTTGGGATGTAGCGTTGACTGGGGTGGGCGGAGGTTGGCGATCTAGGTTGGCGTTTGGACTTTGGGATGTCGGTTCCGAGGTCGGCTCCCGGGTTGGGATCGAGGAGAGAAGCAAAAACGAGGGACTTCAAAGATCGCGTGGCTGATCTACACAATACTACAACATGTATACACTCCCAAATTCGCTTTGCAGGAGTTGGTCGAGGACGGGACCAAGGAGACCGCAGTCGAGGGCTTGAGGGTTTGGCGCGTTGGCTTGGGGTCTTACAAAGGTTTGAAGCCTTGGGTTTTGGGCTTGTACATGCTTGGTTGGGACTAGGCGGTGGCCCTTAACTCAGGGGCCTCAAAAGGTAGGATGAAGGTAGGTGGGGTAATCAGTCATCCCAAGTAAGGGTACCTTCATCCCACCTTCTGAGGCTTCCCGCTAGCATCCTTAATGCAAGCGGCTTATTCACTGTGCTGTGTCGGTGTTGAAACCACCTCCGGTCCACGGGTCAATAAGCACAACCTCAGTTCACGGGTGTTTCGGCAAGGCTATAATTTTGTGGACCGAACCCTAAAGCCCTAAACCCGAAACCCGCAAACCCCTAAACCCCTGAGGGTTCCTTTACGGGTGTCTCTAAAGGTTCCCTGACGGGATATTTTGAGGGTTCCTTTACGGGCTCTGAAGCAAACTGGCTCAGCATGCCAAGCTTGTGTGTCTTATGTTGATATCAGAGAGAGAGTTGCGGGTGACTCCAATGTCCCTTAATTAAGGAATATTCCTTAAATCATATTAGGGATCCTACTATCACTTTAAGGAATATTCCTTACTTAAGGGATATTGGAGTCTCTGACTTTCGGGTGATGGCCTTGTTGGGGCTTTCGGCCCTGAACGTTTTCTGCGCGGCCCGGAACCCTCAAGCTCCATTTTAACCCGAGACCCAAGCATCTTTGCCCCTGAAACACAAACCCGGTTCTTTCCCTATTTCGGACCCCAAACCAACATACCTACGAATATACACCTAATATTTCCCCTAAACCCTAATATAAGCCCTGCTAAAACCTAGAGGGTTCCTTTTCAGGGGATCTATAGGGTTCCTTTTAGGGGATCCATAGGGTTTCCTTTTGGGGTCTATGGGGTTCCTTTTAGGGCCCGCGGGGCTTGCAGAACCTAGCCCGAACGGAGGAGACCTTGGCCACCTACGACGCAGAGGCCGCTGGTGTGAGCTTACTCGTGGAGCTTGCTTTGTGCGGTGCGGAGTTCGGGTTTAGGTCATAGGAGGCCAAAAGGGGGTTTTCGCCTATGGGGGTTTAGTAGGGATGAGGGTTCCCATAACAGGGTTCATATTATGGAATCCCTACCCCAAGAATCTTAAACCCCCCTTTTGGCCTCCCATTATTAGGGTTTAGGGTTTAGGGTTTATGAGGTGCCAGTTTTGTGGGTTTCAGAGTTTGGTGTTTCATGTGTAGGGTTGGTAGGTTTTGCACGGCCAGGTAGTGGCTTTGTGTAGGAACCTGATTAGGAAACCCCGGCTTTTCATTGGGTGCTTTATAATAGTCCTCGTATTTGGGGATGATATGGCCAGGGTTTCTGAAGCAGGCTCCTATATTGGTAAAGATGCCCCAAACCTTGAAGCCTAAAACCCTAAAACCCTAAACCCCCCCTGTTTTCGGAAAGCCCCAGATCGTAAAGCCGATGAGGCTAGGAACCGCTTTTCTTTCTGCCTGGCCCTGAGACCTAACTCGCCAGCGCCTTAAGCTGTGAACTCTGAATCTTCAAAGCTTTGTGTTCTGCTTCAGGTTCCATGATGTTTTAAAGGCCTCCTCAGCCTTTGCAGCTCTAGTTTGGGGCTGTGCGTTTAGGGATGCAAACATCGGTTTTGAGTGCAGGATTTAAGCTTCATTGAACTTTATTGTTTGTGGTTTCAGCCCGAACCCCTACAACGAAAGTCTTCCAGGCACCAAAGCAGAAGCGAGATTGCCTATATTGTTGAGATTTGGAGGTCCGGGTCTTTCGTTTTGAATCACTGGAGGACTGGCTGGCCTTCATCCAGGCCTACTTCCAGCAACTCGACCCTGCTAGCAATACTATTCTTCAGGGTGCCTTAAAGGGGTTTCTTTATAGAAGGGTTACTATAAGGGTCACTACAACGGTTATTATACCGGTTCTATATAATATGCAGGTCGCATGCAATGGTACTATGTGTTATTCTTCCTTGTTATCATCGGAAGACATACCTCGCAGTCTTATTTTCATCGTCACATATCGCCATCGAGCACCTGAAGCACCCAAGCTCAGGCTCAGATACCTTACATAAGCCCTACAAACCCTAATCCCCAGCCCCGAAAGCCCTAAACAGCGCAAGGAAGTGGGGCTTTTTCGGCCTTTGGTCCTGGGATCTCGCGGAAGCCCGGGCCTCAGCGACACTTTGAAAACCACCCCCCTCCCAAAAAAAAAAAAAAACATAGATTTAGGGTTTAGGGTTTAGGGACACCATGATCCCCTGGGCCATAAACAGGCCCCAATTAAAACGGGATACCATGGTCCCTGGCGGCCTAAACCCAAAACACCCCAAATCCTTAGAAGCCCGCAAACAAGCCCCAGTACTTAACCCCTACAACAAAACCTATCAGATACCCGCTAAACACCCCAAACAACCTCTAACACAGTTTTTGTTGCATCCTTCCAAACCCCCCCAACCCCTGAACCCCTAAACTCTAACCCCCTAAACCCTAAATCCCTTAACTCTAAACCCTTAAACCCTAAACCCGAAGCCCTAAACCAAAGCGAGTGCTGAGGCACGGGCCGAGGGCTTTTGCGCTTGGGCTCGCGTCTTCACGAAACAGAGCCGGCCGCTGCAACTGGGCGCTTCAGGTGGGATGAAGGTAGGTCTAGATGTGGTCTTCCCAAATAAGAGTCCGTATATAAGGGATCCTTAATCCTACCTACCTTCATCCCACCTTTTGGGGCCTCCGATTAAAGGAGCCCTAAACCCTAAACTTCAAGTGAGTAGTGTGAACATGTTGACAGACACTGCTGAGATCAGTGCAACTGTCCCTTTTGTGTAAGCCGACTTGCTGGCAGACGAAAAGACACGACACTACACATTAAAAAAAAACTTCAAGTGAGCGAGGGTTGAGGGTTTAGGGATTCCCGTGAAGGGCTTCTTGCAAGGCCTCCTTTAAGGGAGCGAGGGTTTAGGATTCTAGGCTTTTAGGGTTTTAGGGTTCAGGGCTTTTTGGGTTCCCTGTAAAGGGCTCCTTTGACGTGTGGGATTTAATTTATGAGCGAGTGAGGGTTTAAGGTTGTAAGGTTTATCGGTTTATTTGGGCATAGGGTTTAATTTGGGGTATAGGGCTTAAGGCTTAGAGACTCCTGAAAGGTGCTTTGCGGGTTCTTGTTAAGGGTTTCAGGGCTCTTTGGGGTTTCGTGTCAGAGATTGGGGTTTGACCTTGCCTGTTCGGTTTCTTCAGAGCGGCCTGATAGACGCGAAACGAAGCGGGATTTCAACAGGTGTATGTAAAGATCAGCGACAAAAACAGGGACAGCTCAGCCCAAAAAGAACCTACCCGGAAGGCCCAAAACCCTGATGCTCTAGCCACCCAGATCATACCCCGAAAAACCGCTACCAGGGCTTCATTAAGCATACCTTGCATGGTCTTGGTAAATCGAGTTCCTCAACCCGTAAATCCTAAACCCGCATGCTGCAGAAACCCACTACATGGCTATAGATACCCTGTAAAGCCTAATCGCAACCACGAAACAACCTCCTTATCACATTTATGTTTCTCGTACCTCCCAAACCCATTCAAAGACACTGATCCTTAATCCCAAGCCCTATACCCTAAACCCTTTCGTGTAGAGCCAAGGCTCATCTCCCTCATCCTCGTCCTCTATGGCAGCGTACTGGACGGCCTCCTACAGTTCGTGCGCTGTGGGGAGGTCCGTTGGATTTTGGGGGTCCTTGGAGTTACGTAAAAGATCATGGGTCCCTTTCGAAGTCCTCAAAATAGTACGGCACCTTTCTGAGATTGGACTTAGTGACTGATATATACTCAGAACGAATGGTTACTTCTAGCCCAGACTAAAGTACTTATAACCTGACTTGCTCAGTCCCATGATCCTCCAAGTACGGAGCCCAACAAATCTAGGTTTTGAGGCTCCCGTGTTCGTTTGGATTTCCTTAACATCCCGGGTGTTGGAGGATGGGGTAGGGTTTTGAAGTGTTGTTAGGGCCCCTTTCAAGGCTTCAGGGTGTAGAGTGCAGGGGGAGGGCTCAAGGTTTGGGGTGTTGAGGCTTCGGCTTTTGTCGGATTATTGTAGGGTGTTTGGGGTTGAGGTCTCAGGTTTAGGTCTTTGGGTTTTCAGGGCGGCTAGGGCTCAGGATGTGCACTAGTCAGGGATTCGCGAGTTTAGGGCGATGTTTTCTAGATGTGTAGTAGCCTAGCTTAACCCTTGAATCGTGAACCGTGAACTTTGGCCCTAACCTCCAGCCTAATCCAGGGAATAGAGCTTGCGACTTCAGAAGGTTTCTGAGCAAAGCATACACGGGACGGAAGAAGACGCCTGCCTTAATCCTGGGAGTTTCCTAGGGGTATGGGTTTGAGGTTTAGGATGAAGGTTTTAAAGGGCCAACACCCCTGAACCATCCTAAGACCCTCAAGCATAAGCCCCTAAAGCCCCCAAACCCCAAAGCACCGCTGGGCACTGGAGGTCCCCGACGAAGATGTTCGCCGGAGCCTCTATGCTCAAGAGGCCGGGATAGAATGATTTGCAGTCTGCAGTGGTCTTCTGTAGAGGGCAGTATAGGGTTATGGGTTTCATGTTTTAATATTTATGGTTTGGGCTTAGGGTGCAATAAAAAAGTCCAACCGTAAGAGGCCTCGTGAAAAATCCTGCAAAAGCACCTTCAACTTCTTTTGGGCCACCCAAGGCGGCAAAAGCTGAAATCCATGCCCAGCCCAAGAAGTGCTGAGCCCTTTTCCAATTTTTGGGGCTTCTACTGTATACTACACAGACCCTAAACCCACCTGAAGCCCTAAACCTAAGTCAACCTACGCCTGCCCCAGGTGGAGTGCCAAAACTGGGACACGCACCTCGCCAGGCTTTCCGCGGCCACTGCTGCATGCTGGCTTTTCGGTGTTCCGATGGCTCCTGGATCCCAATTTAGACGTCTGAAGGGTTTAGGGTTCAGGGTTGTTCAAGGTTTCTCAGGGATTTGAGATTTCTTAGTTTTTCGTCAGGGTTTCTTAAGCTTCATCTGGTGTCTCAGGGTGTTGCTAAGATTTCTCAAGGTTTCTTCGAGTTTTGTGTGGGTTTGCGAGATTTCCTAATTTGGGATTTTAAGGTTCAGAGATTTAGAGGTTTATGGGGCTTTGGGCTTCATGGGCTTAGGATCAACGACGGTACGATTTATAAAACTTCTTCCGACCCTCAGTCGGTAAGACTCAGCGGGTTTAGGGTTTTGGGAAGTCTACCTTTTCAGGACCATGGATGAGAAGCAGGATGTAGCCCTAAAGCCCTACGGTTGATGATATAGATCCTTCATTACCTTAAGGACCCTAAACTATGGGAGTTATGGTATATTCCCTATTATGGGTAATGCAGGCTTTGCATCATCAACAGTATGTCAAGGCGGCCCAAGGCCATCCCCATGCAATTGAGGAACACCTTGAAGCCGCTCAGCGAAGCTTCTGGACCCATTGATGAACCAATTTAGGGTTTAGGATCGTGGCGTGCGGTAACTTCCAACATAGCCCACAAGGCGACGAAGATTTGAGAACACAGAACGTGGACATGTCAATTCCTCGGGCGATATGCAAGGAAACCGCATGGAGACCATCTTGGATCTTGGGAGCAGGTGACATCAGCGCAGCGTTTTCAAACACCTTCTTGGGTGGAAAGGACTTGGTCATGTTGGAACCCCCGGCAGCGCTGAAACGTCTTGGACTGGTGGCAGAAGGTGTCCAGTATGTCCCGATTCGGGCCATTTATGGTTTGAGACCGTCCCCTTTGGACTGGAGCAAAGATCGTGGCAGTAAGATTTCCATTCAGGTTTTGACCGATGACCAAGGTCGAAAGATTCGCTGCGTACCCTAAACACGAAACCCCGAACCCTAACCTCGAGGTTCTTGGTTGCCACCGACAAAAACCGCCATAAACCACATTACAAGAACCGTATGCAGACCCAGTTCAGAACGCCTTACAACCCCAATCACCGCTTCTGTTCATTAAGGCCCCTAGATCGACGTGGTCCTTGGCTACCCTTAGCATGCTCCTATATCACCCTCAGACTGACTCGAAAGCCATTACGCAACTCTATGCAACCCTGCAAAGTTCCTTGCTTACCTGCTTCTCTCCCCCCTCAACCCAAACTCCTAAACAAAGAAGGTTCTTGGCTACCTGCTTCTCCCCCCTACGCCCTAAATCCTAAACAAGCCTTAAAAAGAAGGTTCTTAAATCCTACACCCCCAAACAAGTTTTTGGGCTTCTCTTCCCCCTAAACCCAAATTCCTTAACCCTAAAGAAGGTTCTCGGCTACCTGCTTCATCGCGCACGGAACAATCTCTCCGACGACTTCGAGTTCCCGGTGGAAGTCTCGGTGCTGAGCCTCCCGGAGCAGATTGAACTTTGTAATGTAGGGGCCTTAAGAATTAGACTAGGGTTCCCGTTTAAGGAGTCCTTATAGGGGCTACTATAAGGGATAGGAAAGGGGAACTGTAATGTCGGGGCCTTTGATAATGATTAGAATGGGGTTTTGGTGTCCCTTATTACAGTTATACCATGATATACCCCCCCACCGGTATTCTAATTATTGAGGCCTCTACATTAGGAGCCTAGAGTCAGTCGCCGCATGTGTTTATGATGCAAGCAATCGTGGCTACAAGGCCCAACATTTCCACATCATCACCGCTGCTGTTTTCACCGGCGACACTATCGCCGGCATTTCTTTGTTTGTGATCCCTGACTATGTTCCCCCGGAAATGTCCCCAAGCAAAAAACACACATCACCGAAACTCGTCGCGCAAAAAGCCCTGCAAACCCTATAAGCCCCGCAGTAAGCCCCGACTCCAAAATCCAATCCTGCAAGTGGAGTCCTTGCATTAGGGCCCTTATAGTAGAACCGAAACCCTACACCCTAAACTCCTAAACCGAAAGCTCCTAAACCCTCTAATCCTAAACTCCCAAACCCCAAACCCTAAACCCTAAACCGAAAACCCCTAAGCTCCAAACCCTTACACTCTAATCTCCAAGACCAAAACCCAAAAAACCCTAAGTTCAAACCCCCATAGCTTCCCGAGCCATCCGTCCGCCCAGAACCAATGAAGAGATACTGTAAGGCCAAGGATTTAGGGCTTTGGGTTCACGGCTCAGTCTTGGGCATCGGTAAGGCGTTTAGGATTTAGAGGTTTACTAGGGTTTAGGAGTTTTTGGTTTAGGTCTTTATATCATTCTAATGCTACAGTTTTTAGCAGTACTACAATAACCCTGTAATAGTTCTAAGCTCTACACCCCAAGAGCTCTGAACCCTAAACCCCAAACCCCACGTCCTAAACCCTTGATGGGTTGAGGCTTCGGCTACCGACTGGGTTGCTGGGGATGGGAGCGCCTTGGCTTTTAGTTCCGTTTATGGGGGGGCTTATGGTTTAGGGGTTTTGGGTTTTAGGATTAAGGGCTTGTGGTGAGCAGGGCAGAATATTGCAGCGTGCGTTTGATTCCGTGAGGGTTTTGATTGTAATTTTGTGCTATCGTCTATTGCCTTTTTTTGGGGAGGGGTGCCTGCAGCGACGTGTCGCCGAAGTTGCTTGAGCAGGATAAGGTCTGAAGGCATCGTGGTGCTTTGATGGTAAAGCTTGAGCCCCAGGAGCCCCCTAAAACCGTGAGTTAAGGATTCCACTATAGTTCAAGGTCGATTCCATCAATAAAGATTGCTTGGGCC